TGTTGTGACCACGTGTACACTGTTTACTATAGTACTATAGTGTTGTGACCACGTGTGTACTGTTTACTACAGTACTATAGTGTTGTGACCACGTGTATACTGTTTACTACAGTACTATAGTGTTGTGACCACGTGTATACTGTTTACTACAGTACTATAGTGTTGTGAACACGTGTATACTGTTTACTATAGTACTATAGTGTTGTGACCACGTGTATACTGTTTAATATAGTACTATAGCGTTGTGACTACGTGTATACTGTTTACTACAGTACTATAGTGTTGTGACCACGTGTATACTGTTTACTTTAGTGTTGTGACCACGTGTATACTGTTTACTACAGTACTATAGTGTTGTGACTACGTGTATACTGTTTACTATAGTGTTGTGACCACGTGTGTACTGTTTACTATAGTACTATAGTGTTGTGACCACGTGTGTGTGTGTGCGTAAAGCATTTTTTTTATTTTGTGTCCAAGTATAGTGACTGTTCTTTAGTAACTGTACTGCAACAATGGCCCCCATGAAGAAAAAGGTTGAAAAGCAAGTGTCATTGGATAGGTTCCTTGTTAAAGTCGCACAAAAATAAAAAGATTCCAGTGAGCCAACAGATGGCAGTGATTCAGTTAGTGACAGTGAAAGTCGTCCAACACAATAACCCTCCTCTCCTCTCTCTCGTCACCCTCACACCAGCCACGATTCAATTTAATTAATACATTTGATTACTTTATATTAAATTTAAATAGTAAAAATCTAAACAGGTATTTTGTATTAATCATTTTTATATGAATATTTTTGGGTTGTGGAACGAATCATCTGAGTTTCCATTATTTCTTATGGGAAAATTCGCTTTGATATACGCGTGCTTTGGATTACAAACATGTTTCCGGAACGAATTATCCTCGCAATCCAAGGTTTTACTGTATACTGTACTCCATTCCACAGATACATTGTATATTTCTGCAAATTAAGACCTAATATTGTTTGAATCTATTTAGCATTATTGGGCAAGCAATGGGGCAGTAGTTAACGCATTGCGATGTGAACTTCAGCAACCCCGAATTCGATTTGCGGCCAAGACCAAACAACATCAGTGGTGAGGAACATTTGCGTAGGTCCTGGGCTCTCCCTCTATCAACCTTTACTGCCGAGCGTGTTGGGTGAAGTATGGCCAAACGTCCCCCATGACCAACACGGAATGCAGAGGCCAACATTCAGGAGTTGATTTGCAAAGGTCTGCAACGGACTGTAGCTCTGCTCATTGCTAATGTATAATTCGTTGTAAATGTATTGCTGATGTTCAACGTTGTTTAATGTTCACATCGATGACAGTTTTACGATGTTCGCCGTCTTGATCATTTCTTTACACGTTTACCCGTATGGCTTGCATGACCCAGATCTCCGTTGAAAACGAGACTTGTTTTTGTTACTTAGCAGGCTGTCTCAATGAGGAGTGTGCGTGTGGTGTCTCAAAGGTGAACGATGTCCAGAACCAGGAGGCTCGATCTCCTCGGGATAAGAGGCCGCAAAATCCAAATCCTCAAGGCCAGTGTAGATCCCGTGGTGGTCCTGCTCACGTTCCTTCCATTCCGCCTCGTACCAATGGCCTATTCATTCATCTACTGGACATCTGTAGAAAAAACCGCTTCATAGCGCATCGGATTTCTCCAGCATGCATAAATAAGGATCAGTGGAGAGGAAGTGCGATTTGTGATGTTTATGTCGGAACAAGGAGAGCTGGACTTCGGTAATATCTGCTCTTGAAGTTACTCCACATTTGGGCCTGAAATATCTGACCTAGTTTTTCCCCCAATACTTTTCCTTTCTATGTTGTTCAAGTGTGGATATTTTTTGGACCTCACTCAAAAGGTGTGCTCCAAAACCACGCTCATGTGGACGCCACTGCAAGTTTTTGACAATTTGGTTATTACCTGAACACGTCCAGAATATAAATTGAAAACTATTAATTGGTCAATTAATTCGGGAAGTGAGTTGGAGCTCGGCAGCGCACATGGCAGTGTGTCGGTATTCCCCCTGTGATGTTGCACTGTGGTAGGTGGGAGTGTGCAGCCCTTGTGATTCTAACAAGCAGTGATGCAGCTTATTTCCCTTCACACCAACATTTGTAAACTCCCCCTCCCCGTGCCGTTCCTCTACAGCATTTTATGCTAATTTTATGCTAATTCCTTTGTCAAGGCGTTTTTTGTTTCCTCTCACACAGCTTAAAGGACGCGACCTGGGCTTGGCTGTCTTCACTCCAACGCTGTCCTCTGGACAGTACGGTCCCTTCACCTGATGAAGGCCACTTTGTTGTGGCCGAAACGTCGTGATTTTTGTTGTTTTATATTTTTTACCTACGTGACTTTACCGAATAGAACCAAAGAGTATGATCCTTGCAGTCACGAAAGCTTCAAATCTAGAAGTGATGCATTTGTGAGCACGTGACTGTGCCCTGCCTGTCAGAGGTGGTCGCGAGTTGCATGGTTTGATGCCGTAAAGAGGTTCTTGGGTTCGATACCGACCCTAACGCCTGTCTATTTGGAGTTTGCATGTTCTCACCGTGGTCGCGTGGATTTGTCTCCGGGTCCTCCGGGTATTTCACTCCACATTCAGAAACACGCGCTTAGCGTATTTGGCTGCTATAAATGTCCACGCGATAAGCCACTTCGTTTAGCCATCATTCGTGATGGCCAGGTCGCTTCTGAAAAAAATAGCTATATAGCTCAGCGGGCCTTACCTGGTGAAATAAAAATAGTTGAAACAGTTTTAGTTAAATGGCATTTTCCGTGCGAATAACTTGTGACCCGCCGCCGCCGCCGCTTGCTCTCGTTGAGAGAAAAAGATGACGACTCAGAGGCGCCAGGAGGAGGCGCTACGGTTCGACCCCATGTGGCCGCCCTGGTTAACACTGCGGTGTGTACTTAACCATTATATTACTACACGCCATCTGCTTCACAGCGGACGTTAAAGATTCCGTGTCGCCATCGTGTGCCGGTGGTCCTCTGTATAATGATAATCGCTCGGAGTAAACTCACACGTGCGAGGGGGAAACACTCTGTCCCATACATATGGAATAGGTGGAGTTCACGGTTTTTTTGCTGTACTGTCTTCTGGCAATCCAGGTGATGGCAACTCCTCGAGGCCCACGGCGATAGGTGGGAGTTTTCGCAACATTTGTGTGATCCACCGACCCTCACGGCCTTCACATTGATGGATTACAGAGCACGTGCACAGCCACCACCACCGCCCGTATACAACCGAACGCAAATTTTGAAGCAAGCAATCAGACAGTTTTGGCGAGTTTACGGTTGAAATAGAACAGGCATGTAACGTGCAACAATACATTATTAGCTTACTTTAATTGTTTACATTACAATGACAGTGTATACGGTTTGAACTTTGTACAAACTTCTGTTCCTCCAAGACGCTCCAATAAAGCGGAACAAGACAGCAGTTTACGTGGCTCTGATTTTGAATATTGGTGCCCGATACTCTACAAAGAGGGTTGAATCATAAAGCAGGGGTGAAATTATGCATCGAGTCGTCGCCTTACACAATGCTTAAAAAATAAAATAATTATTCTTGAATCGAATTGAAACTGTGAATCGCCCGGAGCTGAAGGGTGAAACCGTTCTACCTCAAGTCATGAAGCCTTGAGGACAAGTTTCTTTCTGTTGAAGCCTCAATGATTAATTCGTAATAATTTTAACGATACATTACATATGAATGCGTCCTTATACTTGCAAATACTCTACCGTAGTGTCATGACTGGCTATATAATCGTGTTACTGTAATGACATCATCGACACATGATTGCTCCTTTAAAAGCAAATGACTTTTTTCGTTAGAACAGCTTTTTGTGTTTAGTTTACTATCCTTCCCCCCCCCCCCACACCTCCGATTAGCAAGGTTGGGTCGGCATGGCGCGAAAGAATTTCAACATACACAGCACATACTCAATAATTGTAAGGTTTTTTTTAACGACTAGATTGCTCTACAAAAATAGTATCCAGTCAAAAACGTGCAGGCCAAGTCTTGCTATCAAAATAAATACTAATAAGTGTTCGTATAAATACATTTACGCTGCAAGGCACCATAGGGAGAACTCACCAATACCTTTGCCTGCCCGCATTTGACATGCAATGTCCTCTCGTGTGGAGGTGATGCCTTGTGGCCTAAACATATTCAATATTAACTTAACACGCAGGTATTCACAGCCAACATTATTCATATTTGTGTCTTGAAAGACTCTCTAGAACCCGACACCGCCACAGATAAACTTGTTACCTGTGTAGACGTGGTTATTTTCCATTTTTTTTTAACGCGGTAATTATAATTGTATCAGCTCACGGCTAAGTTGAAGAATACTCCTCACAACCAAGTTTGGTGAAAAAAAATAAAAGAAACGTGTACACGTGACTATTTAACTTGTCAGGAAAATTCTGGTGGCGGAGGGTCTCACGACACATATTTTGGACAGAACGTTACGTGGCCTAACCCACAAGTCAGTTATGCATCATACAGAATTTAGTCATGATTCTTATGAAAACTGGGGTCTCAATGCATGTTGATAGCTTTCCGTTTTGCTACTGGCTCAGCCAGGCAGCAATATTTGACAGAGATATCCTTTTAAGTAAACGATCAAGAGATTTGGAGACAGAGCCACACACTTTTGGATATCGTTACTGTAGTCATAATGCCCTGCAGTGTAAAATGGCAAAAAAGCGACATTCATTTGCAAGTCAATTAGGAGGCACAAGCTTAAAAAAACTATTCGCAAAGACCCATCAAACACATGCCACGTTACACTTAAAGCCTCTTATATTGATAATAAGATATCGAGTAATGCAAAGACAAAGATCCTCCTTATAGCTTTAGCATACTCCTGGGGCAAGTGCTGTTAGTGAGCACTTATGAAGACTGGCACGGCACACGAGGGGCTAGGTGGCCAGCACCACGCCCGGCCGCCTTTGGCTCCCCAGTGCTGTTATTTACACACCGCACCAGGTGCTCATTGAAGGCTGAGTCGACCCAGGAGAGGCCCAGGACCGATTCAGATACTAATCACTGGTGTTGGCCGTGACCGGAAATCAAACTCAATTCGTTGGCTGCTTAGTGGAGTGCTATAACCATTACGTCACCGCTCGATGCAAAAACACAAAGACAAATATACCCCGTGTAGCCTTTAACGGACTGTTCAGGCAAGTGCTGTTAGCGAGCACCTATGAAGGCTGGCACGGCACACGGCCACACACACACGTTGTGTTTTAATGCCACGGCTGCTGAATCACTAAATGCTGGGCACGCTCACTGCTGGGCCAATCGGAACAAAGGGGATTGGTTCGATCCTCACCAGCTGCCCGATCATTCCCGTAGACACCTTTCAAAGCGTGCCACACATGCTGCGTGGTGGTGCAATATTCAGAGAGAGTGAGCACGCGAGCTGGTTGAGGGGGGGTACAGTATTATGAATAAATGCCGGTCGTGAAAACAGAGTGGATGTGATCTAAACAGACACAAACTCGAGTTGCAAACGCAAGTTGAGATCAACAGAAGGGAAGTTAAGAGGACGTATTGACTCGTCATGACATGTGCAGAAGGACTTGGCGATATGGGTTTTCCTCTTAGTTCTTGCGGACAAGTTCCAGCTGAAAACACGTGAGTTCCTTTCACTTCGGTTCTGTTGCGAGCCAATGCCCTCGTGAGAAAATCGCGACATGGTGCGGCCTGATCATTCTTGTCGGTCTTGTTTGATGACGATGAGTTTCAGTCGGCAATAGAATGTTCATCCCGCTCTGAGATTCGCCAACAGTCGCTGTCTCACATCGAATGGATTTCTTCTGAATCCGGATGATGTATTCCTATTCAGTCAGTCGGACTACTTAGTGAGTGCCTGTGCACATCCATCATACATTGGCCCATGGCCCACCGTCTCGGTTAACCACGTGATGTCTGCAGAGAGGAACTGGAACTGAAAATGATCACGGGTCGTCAGTGCTTGGATTTTATCTAAATAAAAAAAAACCGATTCCTCATGAGGCACGCCCGCAGCTTGATGATGGAGACAACGTTGACACGATAAATAATCCCACGGCAACGGTCAATTCGATGACACAAGTCTATCTCACGTGCGCTGCCGCTGTGCTGTGGAGGTGTAACGTTAATCACAGGAATCTTCCCCCCGCCCCGCCACGAGGACGCTGCTTTGGGACGTTGTGCCAATTTGCCTTCGCGCGTGCGCGTCGTTCACCGGAGAAGATCACGCTCGACGGTCGGCACGGATGGGGGGAGGGGGGGCAGCAGCAGCGTCTGCCTTGGTGCACATCCACCGACCGATGCCCCGCGGGCAAGCCGAGCCTCGCGTGCGTCCTCGGCGACCTTCCCCCGCCACCGCCGCCAGCGACACCCGCGCTAGAGGTCGTAGCGCGAGTGGTAGAGCGGCGCGCAGCACGACGCGTTGCCGTCGCCCATCCCATCGGATCTCCCCGCGCCCACCGTCCCCGCCGTCCCCACCGCCGGCGGCTGCAGATACGCGGGCGCCGCCAGTCTGGCGGGCAGCCCGGCCTCGGAGATCGCCAGCTCGGGCCACCCGCCGTGCTGCACCGCGGGCGGGTGGCCGTAGCCCTGCGCGGCGCCGCCGGGCGCCACCGCCGCCGTCCCCGCCGCCGCCTCCTCGGCGCAGGCGCCGTGCTGGCCCTGCTGCAGCTTGTACGCCTGGTACGACACCTTGGTCGTGGTGGTGATGATGGTCTCGACCGTGGGCTGCGATTGCGGCGGCGGCGGCGGCTTTCCGTCGGGCGCCTGCCGGGGCCTCTCCTGCATGCAGTGGTAGGACAGCGCGGGGTCGTCGGCGTGCCCGAGGCCACCGGACGAGGCGGAGGCCGCCGACGCGGGTCTGGAGGAGGAGACGCGCGCCGAGCGGAGGCAGTCGGCGGCGGCGGCGACTCCCGCGCGCTCGTAGCCGGCGATGAACGGACGGGAGACGTCGACGCACGAGCGGGGTCCGCCCCTGGCGTAGCCGCTCTGCGTCGGGGGCCCTCCACCATGCTGGCCCATGGTGGCGAGCGGCGATGTCAGCCTGCTGTAGCCGGGGTAGGGCAACTCGTATCCCGACGGCGTGTGCGAGGAATAGTGCTCGGTGGTGTCCGTGGAGAGGAAAGCTCCTTGGAATGGGAGGGCCGAGGCGCTCGGCTCCCTGCATAAGCCATCGTCGGGGCGGTAGAAGGAGGGCGGCATCATCCCGTAGCTCGACGAGCCCGGGTATTTGATGAGCTGCGACGGAGACACGTCCGTGATTCTATAACAGTAATCGTAACCTCTCCTGGTGTCACACGTGCCAGCGGGAGCCTGTAGTCAAATGCGATCGGGACAAGGGTTATTGCAGTCTTGGCCTTATTCAACAACATTGGGTTATTCCAGACAACTTTTATACCCCCCCTAAAACATGTTATTAATGTTCTCTTTGTAAGGTCACTGCTGGATGAAGGCTTCCCCACGCCACGTCGGTCACAGGGGTTGTTTGACCATCCTTCAGCACCTTGGTCAATGTGAATTGGTTCAAAGTGGGTGTGCAGATGTCAACTCTCTCAGGTAAATGAGCGAAGACCTCAGGTCTCAGGTCTTCGCTCATTTACCAGCTTCACATTCCCTATTGCCGTACAAAAACCGGAGGAAGGGCCTTTGCTATTGATGCCCCCAGGGTCTGGAATGCTATTGCCAATAAACTGCAACTTGAAACACTACCTATGAGATCTTCACTCAAAACTGCTCTAGAGGAGTTGTACACCCCTAGCTGCCACTGCTATTCATTGGCGTAAAATAAAATAAAATGTTTCGCTCCGGATGACGCTGCAAAGTATTATCTGTATTTTGATAGCGTGCTGATCTTAAAGGTGCATTGGAAGATTTGATACTCCGACTGATGCTTCTGTTGTTGTGGAGTAACTCATGCAGCCAGCTATGGCTCTAGGATTTGGTGTTACATGTTATTTATGTAGTTTATTGTAAAAATTCGGTCACAGTCCCTATGATCCCTGTTATGTTGCAATTATGGCTTTATTTTTTGGTGCTTTCGAAAAGTTTTTTGATTTGGAGTTAGACTGATGGCCTTAATCTAAGTTTTTGTGGTTGTTGTTTGACTTGCATCCCACTGGGATTTTTTGCACACAGCGTTGGTGTACGGTGCTTTTTTCAGGAACATTTTGCTGTTTTTTTCATGGATTTTCTGTTTGCACAGTCACATAGTCACTTTAAGATGTTTTTCTTGTTCGTGTTTTTTTTGTTTGTTGTGGTTGCACCCGATTCAAGAGCCGAATGGCTCACAGGGCTATACCAAAATAAATAAACTGAAACTGAAACACTACTGACGTCAGCCATGACCGGGGAATCGTCAGGTTCATAGCACAGTGCCACTTTCCCCACACCCATCAAAATATATCCAAGTAAATGTTCGCTATCACAATTCCAGGGGGCAAAAAATCACCTATTTTGGTAAGTTTTCTGGGTATAAAAAGTTGATGGAAAAACCTGTGAATTGTAAATGATCAGTACAAATTGCTGATACTATGACATGTGACCGCAGTTACCTGCTCGTTTCATAAATAATACTTGGTGACTTTTAAGTATCAAGTGTAAAAAAAATACATTTGTTATTAAACACCTACCCCAGTAAATGTGGCCTATATGTAACATACGCCCACTATTAAATGAGCAGAAAGTTTAACTGACATTTTATTTAATCGATTATAAGTATTGAAAGTAAAATATAATTATGATCATTAGTTTTTTTTGATACGCGAATAAGTAGACTCATCGTCAAAAAAAGAATGTTCACTCATTTAGTCACCGCATCGGGCACTGTGCGTGCATAGTTGTCAGTGTGTGGTAATATGCGCGTTTTATGGGGTGTTTTTTCGCGATCGGGATCGTATTTCATCTCGGATGGATGATATTTACAGAGATAATAATCGTCATATGACGAGCAGCTTACGAGAAGAAGAAAAGAAATCCACGCAGTTCACAGGCAAGCGCACGTAGCATCAACACGAGCCACATAGCATCAAAACCACAACACCCGCCAAACAGAGATCACAGCAGACGTCTCGACATCTGACGACTGCACGTGAGCTGAGCCGGCTCTGTTTATCGGAACATTAAAAGTCCACGGTGGAGTTTGTAGCCTCCCGAATCTGGAGCATCAAAGGCGCCACTGACACTGAGCGTGAAACCTTTAGGCCCGGGGTTCTTCGTGACGGGCCTGCCTGAGGCTTGGCTCTGGCTCAAGTGAGCCATGGCTCCCAGTGAGCCTTCCTTAACTTGAGCCGGCTCTGAGTATGGTCCCCGGATCATTGCAGAGCCGCTCACTCGCGCGCCTTTGACAGCAAACTGAGCGGTTCAAGCCTGAGCAGAGCCGTGGAAGCGCCCGAGACACAGCTGAGCCATGGCTCAGAACAAGGCCCTGTATCTGGAGTAGAGAGGTGTGGATTTTCACTTCCGTTTGCTCAACTGTGGCACTCGCGAATGTTCAGCTCACTTAGCGAGTGAGGTGACCGCGTGGTGCAGAGGGTCAGACCTTTGACACTGGGTTCTCGATTGCATCGAGTTGATGGTCTTAGGCCAGTCACCAACGACTGCACAAAAAGACCCATCATGCAATATTTGGTTTTGAACATAATCTGATTAAATTTCAGCCCTGGAAATTAAAACTAAGGATACAAAGGCATATTAAAGGATTGTTCGGGAGAAGTGCTGAGAAAAATAGATTGTACACCGATTCCCTGCAACCATGGGATTTTGCATTGTATGAATTTGCCTCCACTTCGAAGGAACTCGTCATGTCCGCAGATGAAGACAGGTACAATTATGAATTTATCTCCAGTGCTGGATGATTCCTCTTAACCACACGAAGGTTCGAACAAGGAATTGTCGTGCTTTAGACCGACTGCTTCTCTTGGTTACTCTCCTGCAGGTAAACGCGAATAAATGGATGAATTTGCCACCACTGCTGTGCGACTCGTTATACTTTATCCGCAGGGAAAAAAAAAACACACAAAAAGGAAAATGGGATTTGCTGCAGATTGATCAAGGGGCGATGCCAACACCAGCATCGGATATCAGGGCCTTTATATCCGATGATGAGGCGTCTCGCTGCACGGTATTCATATCGCGAGCGGGCAGACCCGTCGCGAGACATCTTTTAGCGCCCGGTGCAAGATGCCATCCATCCTCCCACCCCACCGCCCCATAAAACATTTGCGCCACCACTTGCCGTGCTTCGTTTCCAACGCACGTGGGTCGTGGGTGCACGCGTGCGATCCATCGCGCGCGCGCGTGTGGTGTCGTGGCCGTGAATACGCGCGTGTACGTGCGCGTGCGCGTGCACCTGCGCGTGGGCGTGGATGGCGCTCCGCTTCCCCCGCTGCGTTGCGCCCGCGCTCAGCGTGGACGTGGCGCTTCGCTTTTTGGCCGCGCAGCGCCGCCCCTCCGCCTCCGTCTTGCTCTCGGGTCGCGGGTGATCGTGAACTCCCTTGGCCTGCGCGCAGCGGCAGCGGTTGCATGATTACGAGAGGCCTCATCATCGTCGTCGTCGTTGTCGTTAGCAGCCATGATCTATCCGGCACTGGATATAGGTCTCTCACCAAGATCTCACAAGTGCCTGCACTCCCCTGTGTTTTGTGGCTGTAGGGCTGTGGGTTCGATCCCGACCCTGACGCCTGCTGCTGTATAGTTGGAGTTTGCGCGTCTCTCTCTCTCCCTGTGGTCAAGTGGATTTTTCTCTGGGTCCTCCGGGTTTTCCCTCCACATTTAGAAACGTGCGTTTAGGAGTATTTGGCTGCTATTAATTTCCACATGATAAGCCACTTCATTGAGTTGTTATTTGTGGCCAGGTCGCTTTTGAAAAAGAGCTAAAGTCAGTGGACTTTGCCAGGTAAAGTAAAATCAAACGTGGCTTAGTTTCAGTAAATGTATTGGTGGAGTAAGGAGGTTTCTATTCTGTAACCCGGTCCCCATCGACAATGGGCATTCATTACCCAATAGGCTACACCTGCACCAAAATAAACGCAAGCAATAATCGCGATATCAGCTTTCCCATTGCTATGTACTGTAATTGTAGATCACATTTGTCATGGTATTCCAGTTGTACTTTGTTGCTTACGCGTCCGGTACGTGCTACTAAAGATGACTTTAATTATTCAAGCCAGACGTGTTTGTTTGCCAATCATTAGAGTTTCTGACGCACATGCCGTCAGTTACACTCAATGGGTAAATAGGCTACGAAGGTGATGACGTCATAAATCGCCACTGTCAATTACTCCAGGAAACGTTTAGAAGAACACAGATTTTTTTTTGGGATAATAGCTACTTAAATTGCAACTTGTATTATTGAGTTTGATATTCGCACTATCTTGTCAGGAAAATCAAATATATATCTTTAAATTTATCAACAATAAATAACGATCTAACGAGCAACGATAAGCACGATCTCGCGATATTGAGTGAAACGGACGATACGATAACCATGGAGCTTATATTGTGTGATATATCGTAGCGTTGTTGGCTTATCGCAGCCACCATGCTGCACTCTACAGACGGTGGGTGGGGTGGGTGGGACACGCCAATGCAGAAGCTGTTGACGTGTCTAATGGACACGTGGAATAAGCCTGTTTTATCTTTATTGTGACATTTTAAATTTGGATTTAAAGCTTTCGTGACTGCAGGGATTCATATTCTTGGTTCTTTCTTGTTTCCCTTCTACGTGACTTTACCGAAAGAACCAAGAATGTGACATCTTACTTTGCTGTTATTTTTATAACAAATACAATGAGAGTCTATCTTCACTGCGACTCAACATATATGCGTATTTTGAACTTCTTTCGCACCAGTTCGCTATTTTAATTGTGGCTCACTATGGCTCACTGTGGCTCACTGCTTTAGTGCGGCAAATTATTATAATTGCGGCTCACTATGGCTCGCTGTGGCTCACTCCTTTATCGTGGAATACTATGGCTCGCTGTGGTTCACTGCTTTAGTGCGGCTCGAAATTTTAAACGTGGCTCACTATGGCTCGCTGTGGCTCACTGTTTCCTTGTGGAACACTATAGCTCACTGTGGTTCACTGCTTTAACGCGGCTCACTATCTGGATTGCGGCTCAATATGGCTGGCTGTGGTCCCACCGCTTCAGTGTGTCTCACCACGGCTCACTATTTAAAACACGTGGCTCGCTACGGCCCGCTGGGGGCTGGCCGTTGCGCGGTACCTGGAAGAACACGAGCTTGCCCTCGTGGCGCCAGAAGTTGGTGACGGGGTATCCGCTGTGGCCCCTGCACGGCACCAGCTCCAGAGGGCCCTGGCAGTTGGGGCACATCTTCTCTGCGGGGGAGAAAGCCAACGCGCGTTCTGGTGACGAGGAGCGGGCGCGGCGCGCCTGTCCCGCTGCCCACGCGTCGTCAGCTCGCTTTACCCACGCAGCGCGCGCGGAGTTTCCCCTCCACCACAGTTTCACACCTGTCAACCCATTATCGGTGCCCTACCTTATTACAGACCGATTCAGAGCTTGTTGGTCACCCCGTGCCTCTTATAAAGCTCAATGTTTATCCTACAAAGTCCCATCACAAGCGAGCAACGCAAACAAATAGACAAACACCACTAGTACACTCACCACTACAAACCAGCCAACCCCTTATCGGTGCCCTACCTTATTACAGACCAATTCAGATCTTATTGGCCACCCCGTGCCTTTCTAGATTTGAAGCTTTCGTGACTGCAAGGATCCATACTCTTTGGTTCTATTCGGTAAAGTCACGTAGGTAAAAAATAAAACAACAAAAAATCACGACGTTTCGGCCACAACACAAGTGGCCTTCATCAGGTGAAGGGACCGGACTGTCCAGAGGACAGCGTTAGAGTGAAAACAGCCAAGCCCAGGTCGCGCCCTTTAAGCTGTGTGGGAGGAAACAAAAGCGCCTTGACAAAGGAATTAGCATAAAAATGAGCATGATGTACATAGGAGGTACATGATGGACCAGGCGGGGGGGGGGGGGGGGGAGTTTACATAATGTTGATGTGAAGGGAAATAAACAGCTGTGAAAGTTTGGGATACCACTACTTGAAAAAATATACTGTACCATTGAAAATTAGTTTAATGTTTGGTTTGATTTAGAACATCTCTCCAATGATTGCTTAATTTGAAACCATCCTCTTGGTTGAAATTGTGTCTGTGTTTGTAAATCTGAATTGCCTCGTGGACAAATCTCTGATAAAAACCCGTGGGTTTTCAGAGAACCTTGGTATCGGAGAAAACTATATCGTGATCACCCACAGCGTTGCAACAGTGATCAGCTACGGCAGAAGAATTAGTTCTGCCGTGTTTCAAATCTGATTTGTGCTCGCGAATTCGGTCAGAGACATGTCGTTTCGTCTCCCCGATATAGCAGTCACCACAGGTGCAGCTCAATTTGTAAACCCCGGGGTACTGTAAGTCAGGAATGACATCCTTCACGGATGGGATTGGGTCACGGATTTTGTGTACTGTATTGAACCGGACCAGGATCTTGTGTTTGTTTAGAATTTTGGAGATATTTTTAGTAACGCCTGCTATATATGGTAGTGTGATGGTTTTGATCGGAGCATCAAGTGGTTGTTTCTGTATGGAGGGAGGAACAGCTTGGCGGATGGTACGGTCAGATTATCCGTTCCTCTTGAAGGCCAGATGTACATGCTTTAATTCACTGGTCAGGTGGTGTTGGTCCGAAATGCAATGAGCCCTGTGGTATAACGTTTTGATGAGATAATTATTTTGAGTCGGGTGGTGGTGGGAATCAGGTTTCAAGTAGGAATCTGTGTGGGTGGGTTTCCTGTAGACAGAATGTCCCAATGAGCCATCAGGTCTCCTCTCAAACAGAACATCCAAGAATGGCAGCTTGCCATCTTTCTCCACTTCCATGGTGAATTTGATGGCGGGGTGTCTGGAATTGATGTGGTCTAGGAAAAGGTTCAACGTTGGGAGGCCATGTGGCCAAATGACGAAAGTGTCGTCTACATATCTCTTCCACAGGGAAGGTCTGAGGGTGGAAGTCTGGATGGCGTCTGATTCAAATTTCTCCATGAAAACATTGGCTATCACTGGTGACAAGGTGGAACCCATGGGGGTACCCTCATTTTGTTTGTAGAAGGTGCCATTCCATACCCATCGCTTTCACACTCACTTCTGCTGCTGTATCTTCGCCGAATTCTAAACAGATTCTGTTTAAGGCCAGCCTATCTTTAATCTCAGAGAAGATATGGCTACTCCGATTTGAACTCGATACTTTAGACAGGACTCTCCTACAAGCTCAATTAATGTTAACACAAAAATGTGACCTTCTGATTGGAACCACGTAGACAACATGACTGCTTCTTCTGCTGATTCACTGTCAGTCAAATGCAAAGCTAACCTGATTTCTAAATTCAACCACCTATCAAATGCGAACCCAGTTCCACATATAACAAAACTAGACGTTAACAAAATCGTCATTAATCAGAGTAGCACCCCAATTTCGGACAATCTGAAAACAGTACTGACTAGAGGGCTAAATTTTGCTGTCACCCCAAAACATATACCAATAGATGATATCATCTCTCAGGTCGATGTAGCCCTTAAAGGCGTAGGACACATCCAAGCAGACGTTGCGAGAGCTGAAATAGCCACTATTCTTAAGAATACTAAGAAACCCATTAGCAACATCAGCAAAAATGAACGCTCTGAACTCGCGAATAAAAAAAAAAAACAGAAATGATATAGTCATCCTCTCAGCCGACAAAGGCAACGCTACTGTAATTATGGATAAAGATTCATACAACAACAAAATCCAGAACCTGCTCAACGATGGAAGTTACTTAAAAATTAAAAATGACCCTACTAATAGCCAAACGATAAAAACCTGCAAGATCATCACAAGTTCGACCTCCCTAATCGAACCAACTAAACGTCCCTCCCTAAAACCTTCTGCTGCAAGACCCCCTAGATTCTATGGTCTTCCCAAGATTCATAAAGAAGGCACCCCACTACGACCCATCGTATCCACGATCAACTCCCCTACCTACAGGCTAGCCCGTTTTCTGTCAAATACCTTGCTGCCTTTCACTGGCAAGACCACCTCAGCAGTACTTAACTCAGCCCAATTGGTCTCTATGGTCAAAGACGTTGTACTGTCCCCTGACGATATCCTTGTCAGCTTCGATGTGGTCTCTCTGTTCACCAAGGTCCCAGTACCTGATACCATTGAAATAATTGAAAATTTGGTCCAACATGGACTAGACCCCGATACACCTGCGCTGGTTAGGCACTGCCTCACCAATACCTACTTTACTTGGAATGGCACCTTCTACAAACAAATGAGGGTACCGCCATGGGTTCCCCCTTGTCACCAGTGATAGCCAATATTTTCATGGAGAAATTTGAATCAGACGCCATCCAGACTTCCACCCTCAGACCTTCCCTGTGGAAGAGATATGTAGACGACACTTTTGTCATTTGGCCACATGGCCTCCCAGCTTTGAACCTTTTCCTAGACCACATTAATTCCCGACACCCCGTCATCAAATTCACCATGGAAGTGGAGAAACATAGCAAGCTGCCATTCTTGGATGTTCTGTTTGAGAGGAGACCTGATGGCTCATTGGGACATTCTGTTTACAGGAAACCCACCCACACAGATTCCTACTTGAAACCTGATTCCCACCACCACCCAAAATCAAAAAAATTCTCTCATCAAAACGTTATACCACAGGACTCATTACATTTCGGACCAACACCACCTGACCAGTGAATTAAAACATGTACATCTGGCCCTCAAGAGGAACGGATACTCTGACCATACCATCCGCCAAGCTGTTTCTCCCTCCATACAGAAACAACCACTTGATACTCCGGTCAAAACCATCACACTACCATATATAGCAGGCGTTACTAAAAATATCTCCAAAATTCTAAACAAACACAAGATCCTGGTCCGGTTCAATACAGTACACAAAATCCGTGACCTGATCCCATCTGTGAAGGATGTCATTCCTGACTTACAGTACCCCGGGGTTTACAAATTGAACTGCACCTGTGGTGACTGCTATATCGGGGAGACGAAACGACATGTCTCTGACCGAATTCGCGAGCACAAATCAGATTTGAAACACGGCAGAATTAATTCTTCTGCCGTAGCTGATCACTGTTACAACGCTGTGGGTGATCACAGTATAGTTTTCTCCGATACCAAGGTTCTCTGCAAACCCATGGGTTTTTATCAGAGATTTGTCCACTAGGCAATTCAGATTTACAAACACAGACACAAATTCAACCGAGAGGATGGTTTCAAATTAAGCAATCATTGGAAAGATGTTCTAAATCAAACCAAACATTAAACTAATTTTCAATGGTACAGTATATTTTTTCAAGTAGTGGCATCCCAAACTTTCACAGCTGCTTATTTTCCCTTCAAACCAACATTACGTAAACTCCCCCCCCCCCCCCCCGCGCCTGGTCCATCATGTACCTCCTACGTACATCATGCTCATTTTTATGCTAATTCCTTTGTCAAGGCGCTTTTGTTTCCTCCCACACAGCTTAAAGGACGCGACCTGGGCTTGGCTGTTATCACTCCAACGCTGTCCTCTGGACAGTCCGGTCCCTTCACCTGATGAAGGCCACTTGTGTTGTGGCCGAAACGTCGTGATTTTTTGTTGCTTTATTTTTTACCTACGTGACTTTACCGAATAGAACCAAAGAGTATGCACCCCGTGCCTCTTATAAATCTCAATGTTTATCCTACAAAGTCCCATCACAAGCGAGAAACGCAAACGAATAGACACATTTCTTTGGCTGCCCGTGTTTGAAACGGCTGTACGCCGCGTGGGCCTCAATTTCCCTGTACGTAAATGCGGGTAAACCGTATGGGTTGACAGGTATGCAGTTTATCATCGATACAGCTGAGGTCATGAGCTCATACTTTACAGCCATTGACCGCATCGTCGTTGTCCATTGAACACGACGACAGTCTCCTGGTACCCGTGACACTCTGCTGCAGTGACGTTCAACCAGGGGTGCACGTGTCAACGTCTCAGGCGGTACATGTGCGAAATTACATCGTGCATGAGAGACACTGGTGAATAATCACTTATGAATATGCAAATATAAAATAGCTACGATAACACTGAATTCCATATGGTAACCTCGAACGATATTAAAGATATTTCCGAACTCATTGATCGTAAACCATGCGGGTTTCCAAGGCGAACCAGCGAGCGCAAATAATTTACGTCACGCAATGCAGAGCGTCTGTTGACTATATATATTTATTTTTAAAATTCGCTTGCAAGTTACTCGCTCGTCAGGATACCTCACAAAACGGGCAATCGGGTGAAAATATTTGACGTTCATTATTAATCGTACATTTATTTCTCAGAACCGTGTTGGGTCAGGAAAGGGAGGTTGAAACAACATTCAACAAGAGGGGGAGGGGGGTGGGTACAGGAGTCGCCAAAATAAGGCTGAGAAACACATTCGTGTGTGGGCTATATGCCGGTGGCACACAATGGCCTTCAAATCTCCACGTGGTCGCGTGGATTTTTCTCTGGGTCCTCCGGTTTTTCCCCACCCAGCCAGCGCTAACAGCAAATGCTCTGCGTCCCTCTACGTGTTAAGATGTTCTCAGGCAATCGGCGACGAGCGTGTTAATGCACCGTCCTAGGACGGAGCCTCGTGAGGGAGAGAGCTGTTGCAGAACGAGAGAACAGAACGAGATGCGGGCGTGCGTGCGTGCGTGCGAGCGTTATTCATCGTACATGGTTTATGGGTTTGGATCGCGTAAATATAAACGCGTCGTGAACCCCGCCACCACCCGACACAGCCAATTAGCAAGGGTCCGTCACGGTAGCAAAAACGTGCCAACGAGTTGCCAGTTCACCGCACCGAGTAAACACCACGGTTACCATATTTAAGCACGGCGTTTCTCTGGCGATTGCAACAACCCAGCCCACGGTGTGAAGCGTTACTTTGCTGCTTCTGGCGAGCCTTGTCGCAGATGGCCGGGCGCAGGAAGAGGCGGGCGCCCGAGGGCAGGAGGCATCCTCGGCTGCACAGCACCACGCCCAGGCACGACTTCTTGAGGATGGCGCAGTTGTGGTTGTTGGTGTTGCGCATGGCCCAGCCGCTCAGGTGGCGCTGCGCGTGTTTGTCCTCGGCGCTGTACACGAAGCGCGCGTAGCCATCCGGCCACTCCTTGAACGCGTCGGGCTGCTTGATGCACTGCGCAGGTACCGCGGTGTGAATGAAGAGCGGAGCGGAGCAGGGGGGGCGGGGGGGTTGCGGAGAGGGAGGGGAGGACGCATTGGTGCCATGCAGTGTATGTACCACGTACGTTGAACTTCTTTCGCACCTTACGTAGCCAAGCGTGCTCATCGGAGGCGCGGGGCAAGGACAGGAAACTGAACACAAAAAGCAGTTTCTAAAGAAATTAGTTTTCAATCTGGGTGACATCAAAGTTGCAATAGCTTCCAGCGGTCTTCTTCCTAATATCGGTAAGGAAGAAGGTTCCAGACGGACGTGTTGCTTACGACGGGCAGCTGCAGTGACGCACGAGCGAGGCGCCTCGCGCAGCGGCCACGCCGCGTGGGCCTAAGGTCGGGATGCCTCCCAGTGGGGCTCATCTCAAATCTGTCGTTTACAAAACCCGACCAAGAAGATGCCTGAATGAATTGAGACAACGCAACAATGATAATAATAATACAAATTGATGATAAATATAAGAAAAAAAATTACACGCTTTGTAATCTCGTTTGGGGAGGAAAAAAAATCCGAAATTAATTTCCAAAAAGGAATTCGTGCGTGCATTATTGTTAATGGGAGTCAATGTAAACATTTGTTAAAATATATTTCATAATCGCATGTCGTTTGTTAAAATAAATGTAATAACCCTACGTGTCCTGACTTTTCAGCCCCCCTGTATATTAGGTATCATAATTATTAAAATAATATGCTGTGTGTGTGGATATATAGTGCGCAACGCCTCTTCAATGTCTGTAAAGGATTTAAAGTTCTAATGCCATTGAGTTGAGCGTCTATGTTCAAGTTCACGTACGTACACTAACACTCGATCTCAATCGGCTGCTCGCTTTTACAACTTGGAAGCAGCAGGCACCTGCAGCTGATTGTGTGTGTGTGTATATATGTATGTTGAACTTATTTCGTACCGTACGGAGTCAACCTTGCTAATCGAAAATGCGGAGGTAGGGCAATACAAATAAACACATAAAGCAGTTCTAAAAAGGCTTAACACGTTGGAGGCTTTCGCGACCAATATCATCCATAATAGAGTTTCGTTATGGATAGATCGCGTAAATAAATAAATGTGTCGTTAAACCCGCCACCACCCGACACATCCAACTAGTAAGGGTTGTCACGTAAACAGAACGTGGCCAATTCGTCACTAGTACAGCACACACCGGTGTGTTGGAGAACCAAGCCACAACATTTACAATCTGAGTACGACGTTTCGCCAGTAATAATAACTAGCTTCATCAGGTGACAGCCAGATTTGTGCACAAGTCCACCAGTTTCGTTCCTTATAAAGAGGCGTACATGTGGCGACCACGCTTCTTCTAAAGAAATACGTTTTCACCCTAGATTGTAAAAGTATATTGTTCCAGTGGCTTCCTAACATCGGAAGGAAGACCGTTCCAGACGGCCGCAGAAGCGCATCTGAAAGCGCGCGATGCAGCGACCGTCTTTGTTTGATGGTTGGCCAAAAGAAAGGTCCTTAACGCGCGTGCGTGGCTTGAGCCGTGTCTGTCTTTTAAATAGATATTATTATTATTTCATTGGTGATGCTGCATTGGCAGTGGTGCACGAGCAACATTAACAGCAACAATACAACTCACCACATTCGTTAATAACACTGTGGCCTTAAAAGGAAAAAAAAAACATAACAGGAGACGTTTCGGGTCAGGACCCTTATTTATAGCGCATATTTAAGCACCATATAGATGCTAAATATTACTATTATTATTATCGTCATCATCAATGAATACTGGCGGCTAAATCCCAGATTTAAAATCCAGGCTTTTCAGTGTTTTGCTGTCTGGCTCAGCGTCTCTGATTATTCAGCCTCCTTCCTCGCACCTGCGGCATCTTGGGGTCGTTGATGTCCCACGCGAGGCGCATGCCCTGACCGGTCACGTCCACCTCGTCACCCAGATCCAGGAAAGAGGGGTGGCTGCCCTCCGCCTTCAGCATCGCGGCCGATGACGACGATGATGGTGATGATGATGCTGTTGATGGTGATGACGACGATGATGGTGATGATGATGCTGTTGATGGTGATGACGACGATGATGGTGATGCTAATGTCGACTGCCTGCACACACACACACACGGACGCGCGCGCGCGGTAACACTACTTGCAGGTTCATGCCCAGGTCAAGGGACGACGTGTCATCATGGCCAGTGCCGTTGATGTAACCACAAAACCTCACTGCCACCAAGCCAGATCCGCCCCCAGTAGCTGTACACGAGACGCAACAGCTGACAAGTCTCCCGCCACCAGAACTTCAGGTGCGCGCATGTATGTATGTATGAATATCGCACATGCGTGTGCGTTATGGAGACACGCGTATGCATGGGTATATGTGTTTGCAAGTAGACTATGCATTGTATGTGTACAGGTGTACATGCATGTGTACAAAGGTATATTCACCCGTGTATGTGTATACTCAGTCAAAGCAAACGTCTACGGCTATAATAAGGTACGGACAGGTATACAAAGCTACATCAAGATATCCATACATAGATAAAGACAACGATCCCCCATATAGCCTTCACAGTATATTGGGGCAAGTGTTGTTCGCGAGCACCTATGAAGGCCGGTACAGCACACGAGGGGGTAGGTGGCCAGCACCACGCCCGACCGCCTAGGATATCCAGTTTACTCTGTAGCACAGTTGTACACAGTTGTCAACCATGTTTACATAGCCCATTGGTGTAAGCTTTCGCTGCGAGCCTATCGATATGATGATAGTAGGAATTATTGCCTCTATCTGTGAGGAGCATTGAGCGTTCAGTGTCACCTCCTCGTATGTGCGTTGGATTTTCTCCGGGCACTGAGACGTCCTTAGGCAAGCCACACACTCTCATCCCAGTGTGGCAGGACCCTCCTGAGAAGAGAGAGCCATGAACGCTCAGTGAGGCTCTCCTGGAGTAAGGGCATTCTTGTTATTACATTCATTATATCACTAATCATCATGCGATATAATGTACATATTATCAGTACATTGATCAACTCTATTATATATCCAACATGTCCAGTCTTGCACTGACGGGCCATGCTCTAGCGGTGACATTGCCCAGTGGCAGCGCGTTCGCCCCCAGAGGTTCACGGTTCGAAACCAGCGGCCGCCTTGGTTATTAGCGCAGCGGGTGTATAAATATATATTTTTACTATCATAGAATAAGCGCCGCATGCTACGAAGTGAACGTTAAAGATCCCGCGACGCGATTGACAAGAAGAGGCTATTGTGTGCCGCTGTCGTGCTCCAAATTTTTTCAAGTTTATAAAAGAAAAACTTTAGCTGCGAATTCCTGAAGTGGCATTATGCTCAGCAAATTATCGTCCCTCGTTACGAAAACTTGTCAGGAGCCTCGTAAACAAGGAGTTATGAGACTCAGTGAGACCTTTTTTTTGGCTAAACAAGTGTAATAATAATAATAATGATTTGACGCTTTCGTGACTGCAGGAATCCATACTCTTTGGTTCTTTCGGTAAAGTCGCGTAGGTAGAAAATAAAATAAATCACGACGTTTCGGGCGCAACACAAGCGTCCGTCATCAGGTGGGAAAACACGGTCTACGTGACTTTACCGAAAGAACCACACCACGTATGCAATTATAAACCATGCTGGTGTGTATGCTTAACAACGCATAGCATGCGTTCATTCACCAAGCTAGATGACACATTAAGACTTGACACTATTCCATCAAGTATTTATATTTAATACCAGTCCGTACACAATTAATGATGTACAGCCCTACTATATGTGTGTGTGTACAAGGTCGACTCAGCCCCAAATGAGTAGCAGGAGCGGTTTTTAAACATCGCCACTGGGGAGACAAAGGCGGCCGGACGTGGTGCTGGCCACCCACCCCCTCGTGTGACGTGACGGCCTTCATAGGTGTTCGCTAACGGAACTTGCCCCAACAGTCTGTTAATGCTATACGGGCGATCTTTGTCTTTGCAATACAATACTGTTAAGTTTATTTGTTTAACCAGTTGAGAAATCGAGAGACCAAGAGAGTCGTCTCATTTGTAAGAGTGACTTGCACACGCTACAATCTGCAGCGTGCACACATGAACAAAGTTAATACTTTAATTCAATATATTAGTATCTGGATTAACTCCTATAAACATAGTGTCTGAGAACGTTGACTAATTCTCCAGCCCTACACTGGTGTGTTGCATCTAGGCTGCGTGTGTACCAGTGCCTAACCAATATTATCCAATTCTGGTTACAAAAACAAGGGCATTTTACCGCATTGAGTGTGTGTAGTGTCGCGGTCAGCGCGTTGCGCTACGAACCCGCCTTCCCGAGTTCGATTCCCACTCACAGCCACCACCAGTGACAAATATCTGAACTGGTCCTGGGCCTCCCCTAGGTCGGCTCAGCCTAAAAAATGAGTGGTGTGTAAACATCGCCACTGGGAAGACAAAGGAGGTCGGGCGTGGTGCTGGCCACCCACCCCATCGTGTGCCGTCCCGGCATTCATAGGTGCTCGCTAACAGCACTTGCCCCAACATTCCGTTAAGGTTATACGGGGGATCTTTGTCTTACATTGGTTAACTTAAACTATGATCGTTCGCAGTTTGTTACCCCCCGCGCCCGTGTGTGTGTGTGTGTGTGCGCACGCGAGTGAACTCGGTGTGTGGGTTAGTGGTGCACACTGGAAGTAAGTGTCATGAGGCTGGCATGGACCACCAACCCCAACTGCTGTGCCTACCTTCAGTAGAAACCCGATAGTCGGTCCCTCGCTTCTTGCAGTGATGTGTCTACCCACAAACACGTGTACGCACCCACGCACACACACACACACACACGTGGACAAGACAAAGACACACCACACACACACACGTGGACAAGACAAAGACACACCACACACACACACACACGTGTTGTAGGCACACCACACAGAACTGTGCTCGCAGCCCGTCTGTCAATGCTGTCCTGCAGGTGAAACCCGCACAGGTGGGCGGGCAGGCGGAGGAGCCACAGAGAGAGAGAGAGCAAAGGCGCTGATCACGACTTGGACCGGGTCCGTGCCTCTATGTCCACGCGCGCCGTTCTACGAAGTCGCGGGCACCTCTATCACTTTACGACGATCACCTATTGATTCTGTAGAGCACACCGTGTTGCGTGTGCCCGCCGGGCAGGTGTGTGTGTCAGTGCGGGGGAGTGTTTATATGTGAGAGAGAGAGAGACGCGCGCGCGTGAGAGACGCGCGTCACGAGAGGGGCCACTTGGCGAGAGAGACGGGAGGAGCCACCCGCTTGGGTCGAGGGGACACGACAGGGATGGGTGGGGTAGAAGTAGGAGGAGGAGGAGCGCTCGTTGTTATTGTTGTTGTCTTTTTTTTTCTAAGACCGCCACATCTACCTGTCGATGAATACGTGGTACGAGGCTTACTGTGAGCACCCGACGAAGGGACCGCCTTGTTTCTCTCTGTCGCTGCGATGACAATGAGACCCGCTCTTTTATATATATATATATTTTTTTTATTTCATGCTGCTAGTGAGTGTCATGAGGTTGTCCGAAAACCACGCGACGGAGGAGTATTTGTGGCCAGAAATTGAAGACCAAGGACTCCACCAAACTGCGAACGCGGCGAGGTGCAAGCCATGAGGCGTCCACCAGGGACGACTGCCCACCCAACACAAGCACTCACATTCTCGAGAACGAGCGTGGAGGCTCAGTGAAGCTTTACTGGATACACATAAATATCACACATTCCGTTCAGGGTTGAGCGGTGAACCCGGCAGCCTGAATTCGATAGCTAACCACGGAAAAACGTAACTTTCAAGCAATTTTGTTTGTATCTTACCAGGTAAGGCCCAGTGAGCTATATAGCTCTTTTTCAGAAGCGACCTGGCCACAAATACTCCAAACGGATTCTGATTCTAAATGCGGAGGGAAAAACTAGAGGACACGGAGAAAAATCCACGCGGGCACGGGGAAAAAAAATGCAAACTCCAAATATACAGCAGGCGTCAGGACTCGGGATCGAACCCACGACCTTCTGTATACTCGGCGAGGTGGTTAACATCTCGCCACCGTGACACGCACGGTGGCGATATTTTGGTGAAACAAGCGGACTTCACTCAGCACCCTGGATGCTGCCGTGGAATGGCTTACAACGTTAACACACCAATGTAGCCCTGCCAATGGCGTTGCTTTTTTGCGTGTTCAAAAGCCACACGAAAAAATAAGTCGCCACGCCGTGTATCAGTTGCCACCACTACACTGGAGGCGAACTATTTGCTTCACTCATGGTGGGGATCGGAAGCGTTTGGCCACGAGACTTGAAGCATTGTGGAAGGTCAGGCTGAGCCGGCCCTATGAGTGAAACTGATCAACCCACCTACGAGACGTCATATTTGGGATACTTTAATGGGAACATTCGGATTTTTGGGAAATCAAATTTTTAGGATGGGGGGTGGGGGGGGCGTAGCGGCGGCCGTCGCTTGAGACCTCGAGAATCGGTCCCTGATTGATATGTACCAGAGAACAATAAATGCAATGTTTTAATGCAACTATTAATAATTAATGTCGGGCCCTATTTAAATAAAGGTTCGAGATCCGCCTCTGAAGCACATACAGCGCGAATGTTAAGTGGGAATGTGTTACTCGGGTGTTGCTAAATCGGCAGGACAGCATTGCTCCCAGTGATGCAAACATTATAAGTTCAAATCTTCGCCAGGGTCGACTGAGCCCCAATCTCACTCAGGGGCCGGGACTGGTTTAATCGCATCTGCAGGTCACGTGCAGGTCACGTGCAGGTCATCTGCGGGTCACCTGCAGGTCACCTGCAGGTCATGTTGCAGGTCACCTGCAGGTCATGTGTAGGTCAACACACGTGTATTTTTGCTTGCTTCTTCCCTTGAACTACGGGGGCCGTGAACTTCGCTCCCACAGTCTCTTTTTTTCTCTCTTCCCAAGTTCGTATAACCTATGCTCAATGCAAGTAACGTATTTATTTTTACACGCTGATCTATTTCACCTTTAATAGCGCCGTTTGTTGCTGGCCGCTTGGCGTTTTGAGCTTGTTTTGTTCGTGCTCAGCATTTAAGTTGTACGTATGTACGTTGAACTTCTTTCGCAACGTACGTAGCCAACCGTGCTAATCGGATGTGCGGGGGGAAGGACATCAAACTAAACAGAAAAAAGCAGTTCTAAAGAAATAAGTTTTCAATTTACATTTGAAAGTGCATAGCTCGAGTGGCTTCCTAATATCGGAAGGAAGAGCGTTCCAGACGGCCGGAGAAGCAGCAAATGACCATATTTGTTCGATGGTTCGCCAAAAGCCGCTGCTGCGAGGGTGACCGGAGTTTGCGTGGATGTTGATGCTCCTTGACGCGATCAGCAAGGTAGAGCTATACACTTTGTGTGTAATGAGTGCGACCTACAGTAATGAGCCATTGGGTGGGAAATTCCACATTTCATTGGCGGGGGCGCGGTGGTTAGTGCCCTGCGCTACGAACCTGGCGACCCGAAGTTTGATTCCCGCTGACTGTCAACACCAGAGACGATTATTGCGAACCTGTTACAAAACGGTATCATCCTTATTGTATGCTCAGAGTATTTGGTTTTGTAAAACAGCATTGATGTAAAATAAAATAGCATTCATATTGTACGTTATATCTTATAGATAAGCACTGTTCTGTAAATGCTGCTTCCGTTTTAAAATTAATCTTGCGATGGAAAACTGTTACATTGTGGTTGTGGGTTCGATCCCGACCCTGTAATTTGCATGTCTCTCTCCCCGTGGTCGCGTGGATTTTTCTCCGAGTCCTCCGGGTTTTCCCCTCCAGATGTACAATAAACATCACGCGCTCAGAGTATTTGGTTGCTATACATTCCGACATGATAAGCCACTTCGTTGAGCTATCATTTGTGATAACCAGGTCGCTTCTCCAGTTATTCCCTCCGCATTTAGAATCAACATGCGTTGAGTATTTGGCTGCTATACATTTCCACAACCGGAAACAAAATATACTTCAAATCAAAATACAGAACGGTGATTTCCAAATGCAAACTACGAGACGAACACGAAAAGAGTTGAGCGATTTGACTCAAACCGAGGTAAACAACTTGAGCCTATAGTTCAATTTAAAAAGGGAGCTTAACAACATGTAAGCCGCAATTATACTCAACAATTCCATGCAGGAGTGTAATTTTTTGTCTCTCTTATTTAAATTGCCCATAAAATTGGGCTCATTATAGGCCAATGAGCAATACGGCGAGACGCACGCAAGAGAGTGCAATAACAAGACGCAGCAGTCGTGGCGTATTTCAGCTCGAGTGGCAATTAGCCATGGGCAAGACGCGCGCTGTGGCAGATAGCGCAGTATATTGTTAAAATAAACCCCCCCCCCCCCACGAGTATGAACAATTGATCTACATCCACATAAGTAAATGCAGTAAATAAAAAAAACTGTGGAATGTCACACATGCACGCACCCTGCGCTACCATTTGTGCGTGCGTGTATATATAGATATGCAATGTGTGGGGAGCGGTGGTGCAGTGGTTAGCGCACTGCGCTATGAATCCGGCGACCCGAGATCGTTTTCCGCAGTGGCAAATATTTGAACCGGCCCTGAGCATCTCCTAGGTGGACTCAGCCTTAAATTGGTACCTGATTCGGTGTGAAAATATCAGCTAATGGGGAGACAAAGGCGGCCGGGCGTAGCGTTGGCCACCCTCCCGCTAGTGCGCCGTTTCGGTCTTCATAGCACGTGCCTCGACCGTCTGCTAAAGACCGTACGGAGTCATTATTTGCCGCGGTTGCACACTGCGTACGAATGTGTTGTGGTGGTCGTAGTACAAAGTGCTCGGAGTACTCTGCCATTCCGTCACTCGTACTCGCCGTGACGACCAATGACCGATAATTGCCAATATATTTGAATTGGCAATGTACTTCAATTGCCGATATGATGGCTCTGATTGGTGATAATTCGCGCATGCACGTGGTCATTATTTTGGCTCTCGGTGTAATTCCAAGCACGCGTTTTAATAGGGAATATGTACTAACAAAAAGAATATGTACTTACAAAAGCAAACACGACATATAAGCAATACATCGTTTGTGTGTGTACAAATGTGGGGGGTGGGGGGAATAGTGTAATAACATCGATGGGACCGTTTTTGTTTGCCGGTATCTATTCTTCTTTCCTTCATCGGTTTCATCATTTATCACAGACATTGGTCAATCCACTGCTGGATGGAGAGCTTCCCGTACTGTGGTCGGGCATGGCGATTTTTGTTTTGCCATACTTCACCGCGCTGGTCAGTGCGCGTTCATGAAGGTTTGGTGGAACGGGGGGGGGGGTGAGACGACTGATGTTAGCCGTGGCCCGGACTCAAACTCTGGCTGTGCAGGGGTTGATATCGTGCAGTGCGCTAACCGATGTGACACCGCTCCGTACGTAAAAAATGCACGCACACATACATGCTACGTAATGACAGCGTATGGACATATACGTATATAGGTATATCGTATTTCTATATGGTATTCATATACGTGTCGGGTGTTCGTGTGTTGTATTTGTCAAGTACTGCACACGTATACACCGCATTACATCGTGTGTGCACGCTATTGTAGACCCACAGTGAATGTCTACATTGACAAACTTCAATATGAATGTACAGGATATATACACACACATCGCATTTACATCCATATGTATGTGTATGCAGTATATGCAGTATAGAAATACACAGATCCCCCGTATGTCCTTCACAGACTGTTGGGGCAAATACTGTTCGCAAACACCTAATACAGTATATATGTATATGCACACCACAAAACAGATACATTGACGTGCTGTTACACAGGTCTATATCAGGCGACTTTTATGTACGTTGTGGGTTGTATGGACGCGTGTGTGGTTGTGTAGCGGTTAGCGCTACGCTGCACTATGAAACCCGCGACCCGGGTTCGATTCCCGCTCACGGCCAACACCGGTGACGATTATCTGAATCGGCCGTGGGCCTCCCCTAGATCGACTCGGCCGCAAATGAGTACCTGGTGCGGTGTGTCGGCCTTCATAGGTGAACGTTAACAGCACTTGCCCCAATAGTCTGTTAAGGCTATAAAGGGGGATCTTTGTCTTTCTGTTTGTGTACAAGCAGCGCGCTAACACAAACTTTAGATCACTAGCTCTTACTGTTAGGACGCCTAAGAGGAATTTTATTTAAGTAAGAGACTATCAACGTTCCACACATATGAAAGTTTAGCATAGTCGTGGCATGACAAAACAAGTGAATAACTG